TAAACTAATTAAACATATTTCTTGTTACTAACTAAACTTATTTTTTATTACTAAACTATTGAACTAATTAAACTTATTTCTTATTATTAAACTATTGAACTAATTAGACTTATTTCTTATTACTAAACTATTGAACTAATAAACTTATTTCTTGTTACTAAACTACTGAACTAATTAAACTTATTTCTTGTTACTAACCTACTGAACTAATTAAACTTATACTAACCTACTGAACTATTTAAACTTATTTCTTGTTATTTCTTGTGTAATGCAGTCATTTGTTTTTTCCGTACATACATGCATATCGGTATGTCATATTTTAAGCTTGGTAAACAAGTAAACAAGTAAACATGTAAACATGTAAACAAGTTTTTGTGATAAATCACATTATCAAGTGACTCAAGTGACTCAAGTGACTCAAGTGACTCAAGTGACTCAAGTGACTTAAGTGACTCAAGTCTCTGATTAATTTATGATCGGGTGGATATAATCGGTATAAAAAAATGAAGGTTTCTATTAAAAGTTTTTCGACATAGTCGCAAGACTCTACATAAATAAACTATTAAAACTGAAATATGTAATCCACTTTTGTTATCATATTATAGTAATTTTCAATCATTATATAGTTTATTATTGACCACATGATTACAAAGTAGGGTCAGGCGGTTTGGTTTTTATACGATTATAAATAATTGGATTTTCTCATTTATTTGTACACAGCGAAGATAACGAGGCAGTAAATTAACTTAAATTTTATAATGATTATGATCATTTAAATTCATTTAAATTCATTTAAAATTCATTTGAAATTTTTAATATAAATACAAGGTCTTTCTTACTTATGAGTTTATAATATATATATTTATATAATCAACATGGAAAACATGAATAGAGTACAAGATTTTGTCGCTTACCTTCGTAATCCTGTGGTCTTTCAAAGAATTTTAAATGTGAATAATAGCAATCCCAATTTGATCATTCAAATTTTACTGCGAACAAATAAAAGAAAAATATTACTGCTTACAACTTGCTTAAAGCAAGAGTTAACGAAGAAGGATTTTTAACAAATATAATTGATGGATTTATTATTGGAAAATCTGCAAAAATAATATGGAAAAACTTTACGGCCGCAGAAAAAAGTACATTCATTACTTCTGCAAGTCAAATTCGATCTAGACTTTCTTTCTGCTGAATTTGTTAAATTTAAACTTTTTATTGGCAAATTTATGGCAAAATCTACTACAAAGTTTCGGTTAACTCCTTATAGATGACATTCGTGTATTCGTGTATAAATCATCTGGCAAATCTGCAAAATCTGAACAGTAATCGGCAAATCTGAATATGCATAATATTTTTACTTAGGCCATTTCTAGTTGATTATTAGGTTAACGTTGATATTTAGGTTCAGGCATGAGGGGAAATTTAAACAAACACATATAGTTCCAAGAATTTGGGATCAAATCTAATTGGTCATCTTTAATCACATGATTAATGAAGTTTGTCATTGGCTTATTTAATTTTCGGGGGAAGCAGTTAAGCGATGGCGATGACGTTAACCTAAAAATCAACTAAAAACAGCCTTATATAAGATATAAGTTTAATTAGTTCAATAGTTTAGTAATAAAAAATAAGTTTAGTTAGTAACAAGAAATATGTTTAATTAGTTTA